AAACATATAAATATATAGTTATCTATGACTTTGTATGACAACAGAACTGAATAAATATTAGAATTTTACAAAACTTTTAATTCATACAACTATTCAAAATGAAAGAATTCAGTTTAACAGCAAAACAACAAAAATAACTTTCTATAACATTAGAAATCTATGCGAAACAGTATTTAAAAAAATCAGTTAATATTGTTTGGGTAGTTATGGATAGCAGTGTAAGGAACGGGTCTCGGGGGGCGTTAAGGACTGTTTGACAATACAATACTCAAACTAACTATTCATTGCTTTGATTAAAGTCATAGAATTTTGGCGAACACTACGATAAATGCATTTTTTATAGACTTTTTTAAAATCTACTGCTATTGGTGTCTGAAATTAGAAAAACACTTCAACTCAGACTTGTCTATAAAGAATGAGTGAATTATCAAATAGTTTAGTTAAAAATTTAGTTTTAAAAATGTCCAACTTTTTAAAATAGTATTATATATATCTATATAAATATATTTGGTGTCAGTATATATAATATGAAAAAGTTAGTGAAAAGTGTAAAAAAGTGGAAAAGCTTTAAGAGTTTAGTGAGAGTCAAGTAGTGCTGGTATTGTGACTATTGGCCGTCCAATTGTTGTGCGGCTCACGATTTCTTACGGTTTATATAACAATACAATGACTTATATATGAAGACAGAAACTGAGATTAACTTTTAACCGATGCTTCTCTAAGTGTGTTTGTGCTATGATTTTAGTTAATAAATGATCGTTTGTGACCATAAAGACATTGTAAACTCAACTTAATTTTTTATTTCACTTTTTTGCATACGACACACATTTACTTTATATGGGTTATGATGTGTGTGTGTGTGTGTGTGTGTGTGTGTGTGTGTGAGAGAGAGAGAGAGAGAGAGAGAGAGAGAGAGAGAGAGAGAGAGAGAGAGAGAGAGAGAGAGAGAGAGAGAGAGAGAGAGAAGTAAAATAAAAGTGTTAGCTAACGGAGAAAATCGATCAAAACTGCTATTACTTTGCTATAAGTTTTCTTTTATATATAGGTTGTCATGACTACCATTAGCTTTATATACTCTTTCGGCGTTACCGTAGAAATAAACGGTGAATGAGTGGGTGAGTGAGTGTATCTCTCTCTCTCTCTCTCTCTCTCTCTCTCTCTCTCTCTGTATTGCATATACATTGGAAGAAAAGAAGAGGAGATGGGACCACCTCTTAGATGAGTGTTATGTTAGGACTGTTGGGGCTATTCATATACATCTTATATCTTATTTATTATACATTACTTTGATTTAGTCGATTGTGTTTTATAATAAATGTTCACAAAATAGTTTAAACTCTAGGAATCTTTAAGCAATAGTTAAGTTATACACCGCACCCACTGTTATGTTGAAAAAATTATGAATTTTATCATTCATTTTATAATTGAAAGCTTTGGTGACTATTTAATGTAAACTATTGAAAGATAAAAGTTAAGCAATTATAAGACAAGTTATAAACGTATCTCTCGGAAAAAGGCATATAATATATACTGTTAGACGCGACTATTAATAAGCAATATATGTATTGAAATATAACGTGTAAAGTATGAAACACTACATTATATTGCTTTGCGTTTATCTTTATTGCTCCGCATTTCCCATTTTAATGACACTCTTCTACTTAAACGACACTTTTTCTACATATTTATTGCTATTTACTACCAGTTGAAGACAATTGTCACTAAAGCATCTAAATTAGGTCTCCATATGTTTTTGCTAAGAATACTAAACTTTTTATAATATATATAAAACATAGTAAGAATCGCATTAATTATAAATAATTTACTTATACAGTACTGTATATGAAGTGGTAGTGTATTAGTGAGAGAGAGAGAGAGAGAGAGAGAGAGAGAGAGAGAGACAGAGAGAGAGACAGAGACAGAGAGAGAGAGAGAGAGAGACGGGAGTTTGTATAGTGATCACTGCAAGAATTGTTCGCTAATATTATAACAATGCTATTCATCGGCGGATAAATAATACGCCGAATATTAGATGAATGTAAGCAAAAAATTTAATTTAAAAAACGAGGATTCAATGCAAGACAGGGATTGCAAGTGAGGGGAGGAAAACATAACAACACACTTACACTTACATCACTTTTTATTTATACTCACACTTATACAGAGTATGACTGACAGTGCGATATTGGCAGAGCAAGTCTCTCTCTCTCTCCCTCTCTCTCTCTCTCTCTCCCTCTCTCTCTCTCTCTCTTTTCTCTCTTTTTCTATCTGTCTATATGTGTGATGGCATCAACATTTCGTTATAGTTAATCTCTTTTTGATATCGTTGGTAGTATGGGTAGTGTATGAGCCATGTATCAGCCCTGCATCAGCTGGTGCAACGATGCTCAGCAATCCATGAATGTATAGTAGAGTTGGCAGGCATTGGCATAGGAGTACTAAAATATACATAGGGATAGGCATAGTATGATATTTAGAGTATGTAAGTTAAAGAGTGTGAGTCTACACATTAGAGTGTACGGGCAGAGACAGGCAGGGCTCGCACTTTCATCAATCATATAATGTTTAATCTGCTGGCAATGTGTGCTCCCGAACCCCAATGGATTCATGTGTCGAACGAATATAAATGATTGGAAGCCGAGAGCCCAGAGCCCAGTGAACAGCAAAGTATTGCTATGTGTTGTTCACTATTCACTTCCTGCTATTGGCTTAACATTCAGACATCACTTGTATGGCACTATCGATAAGACTACTAAACAAGTATTGCATTATTGCATGGCATCAGTGGACTAAAAACATAAATTGAAATGCAATGTCATCACCACATCATCCAAAAGCATTGCTACACCTAATTCACGACACTTTCATGTTTGGCTCCATTGGCTGTATCCCTGTGTTCATAACTTTTAATGCATTAACGATTAGCACTTTAAGGGGAGTTCGCATAAAAGCTCTATTATTTTGATTGTAAGAAAAAACGAACTAAAAAACATTGACTTTAGGCTAACATAACGTTTCTCTTATAGTGACGGCTTTACTTGAATATGCAATAACTCACTGTCAATATATGTGAATGTGATTTACACTATTCATTATATAGTTTACAAAAATGTGTGACAAAAAAGACAACCAAATAAAGCCTTAAGACACAAATGAGACACAAATGATAAACACATTGATAGACAGATTCACAGATAGACAGGCAAATTGAAAATATCTAATATTTTTTCAAATACTTTAATATTTTTAAACTTTAAAAACATACAATTCATTGATTTATATATTTTATGTCAACAAAATATTTAAGATTAGTATCTTTAAACCACTAAGCGGTCACTGACTGAGCACATGGAGGGCTAATAATATTTATTAATAATTTTTATTTTGCTAAACAAGACTATTGTCTAACTTAATCCAATTGTCTATTAATAAAGAGTCATACCGTCCAAAAAAAAGGGAACCGCTTTGTGATCCCCAATAGGAATCAAAACCAAAACTCATTTATTGTGATGTCTTGTGCTTTATTTTATTGCTGTACGTGAGCTAACTTTCCCTCTCCTATTGACTCTCAAGTATTGTATTCTCAATTGCTTTCATTGAATGAATTGGGTTTAAATCTTTACACCATTTGTGGTGAAAGTTGTAATAACTTGTTTATAACCCTTTATATTATATCTTAATTTGTAAATCATTTTCAAATGTTTGGTCAAATTTGTTATTTTTATAAAATAGACACTAAATAGCAATTTATTGAAAAGTTTTTGAATGAAAGCTGCAGAAAGCAGAGTCTGTAGAACTGTATACCATATGATTGGGAACTGGGTTTTTAGCAAACAAGTGGTGCAATAAGTGCTAAGCTGTACTCTCAAGTGATGTTAGCAATTGTGTTGAAGTGATATCTGGTATTGAATTACAGGTAAAATAGGATATCGAGAAAGAAAGACATGTAATAAACGGCACATTCATCATCACATCATCTTTATATGATTTTTGAGTTTTAGGTCCACCTGCGAGGGGACGTCCCCTCAATATTGGTTGGTTTGTAATTGGTTTCGGTGTCTCTAACAGTTCCCCCCACTCCACCTTTGACTGCATTGCATTGCAATTGTTTTGGTTTATATGTATATATATATATATGCAGTGCCTTCTTATCATTTCTCGTCTATCTTTATATTATTGTTATATCTATTAGTTGTGTTGTCTGTCAATAAAACATCGCAACTCACGCTAAAAACAACTCATTTTATTCATTGATGTTATGTTTGGCAAATAAAAAAGTTTTTTTCTCTCAATTCAAAGCAAACAACAATTTTATTTGTTGTGTAGTTTCTGTGACTTTCACGTCACCCATATATCTGTTTCTATACCTACCTGTCCTGTATGACTCTCTTTCCCTCAAACTTATATTGCCTGCGCTCTCACGTGAGCTCTGGTGAACAAAACTGTCCAACTGTCCAGAGAGAGTCTGCAGAGCTCAACAGCAAACAATTGCTGACTTTTTTTTGGACTCACATTTGTAAGTCCAATACAAGTATAGTGTAGTATAGTGTATGCCGGATATGAGGAATGGCACACCAGGTGGTCAAAGGGTTTGCATTTAAATAAAGCTTTTGAGTTGACTATTGAAAAGCTATCGTAAGAAAAGTTATTCATCACAAGCCAACAGACAGACAGCCGGTCATCACAAGCAACCTATTGGTTAGCAGTGTATGCGTCACGTGATTGTCGATGTCATTATGACCGACAACGTTATGGTCTCCTCAACCAACAACTCCAATGTGAATATGCTTTGGTAGGTCAGGGAGAGACACAAATCATTTATTGCGGCTCTAAAGCCATCAAATACATCCAATAACTTATTATTACAATCACTTATTCCTATTTTACATCAACTCTATCCCTAACTTTTATATACCATATAAACTACTCTAAGTTTCAACAGTTATCACATATCATTGACTGTCAGTTAAAAGTATATTAAATATTAAGTATTGTTTGCAATGAGTTCATACTTCGGTGCCGGTCATGACTGGCAATCAACTGAATTACCACTCAATCATTTCACTGCCGGAAAAGTTTGCTCTAATGTCTACAATACGCCATTGGGTGATACCCGAGCCCTTGCCAATGGTTACCAGTCATACCATTCACCACATCAAGGAGCTTATGTGATGACCCCAACTCCGACAATGTCCCGTTATGGCGGTACAGATCATAACCATCCCATAGGACACAACCGATTCATCGAAAACTCTGTTGCTTTTTCACATCATTCCCAACATAATAGTCATAGTCATCATATGAGTCCTCATACACATCCTTCTCTGCAACACCACAGTCACGCACATCATCCACATCCAGATCACGTATTTACGGGACAGGCACTTCTTAGTGGATCTACAGGGACACCAACTGTTACACTTCAAGCTTCTGTACCATATCATGCACTTAGTCAACATGCGAGCCCTACTGGTGTCCACTCACTGCCAATACATGGCCACAGTGTCACTAATCTGTTACAAACAGATGCCTTGCTTCAAGATAGCACCGGTGGTAATCGTGTTGTCACTCCCGACCAACTTTGTGGAACATCTCATAACACCGGTTCGGTAACACATCCGTCTCATCAAATCTATCCATTGAATCAAAGTCCTGCCTCATGTAAACTAAGTGCTAATTATGACACTAAATATGAGTCCAAATATATTATTTCTGAACATAAATTTGAGAACAATTCAATCACTACTGGAACCACCCGTTCCACATCAACTACAGATGGATCGCCTGCTTTTGATACACCGCCACCCACTACACCTGAATTAACATCAATTAAATGCCAATTAAATCCGCATCAAACACCACAACAAGCCATACATCAACAGCAACCACAGCCGCAAACTGGTAGTAATAAACAGTACTATCCGTGGATGAAATCATATCAGGGTATGTCTTGTTTACTAAATTGCTCATTAAATAACACATAAATAAAGTAAGAGATATAAAACACATAAAATTGTGTGAAATGTTAAAACAAAACTTGATTATAGCGGTACTGACAGTGAGAGGGAAAGGCATCGGCAAACGTGCTGTCCTTGATCTCCATCATACATCTCATTCATTATCATTACTACATTAAAATAAATATTATTACCAAAAAAAGTTTAACATTAAAATTGCTTTTTAATTAACTATATTTTAAACGATAGTTCAATCTGTCTACTAAATTACGATTTTTATTTTATTATATTCTAAGCATGGATAGTCTTGTAAACATTTTATGGGCCATACAATTACACGCTATTGAGAGATAATTAATAAATTGTGTTTAAACTGCTATAATAGTTATGTATAACAAATTATATATATAATATTATAAACATGCTATTTAAAAAGTAATTAAATTATTTTTTATTTCTATTATTTATATTTTATAACTGTTATAACTGTTTATTTTTTATTTTTAATATAAATATATTTGCATTAATATTACAATGAGTACTATAATACAGCATAATATATATACAGTATATAACATATTTTAATAAGAAAACAAGAGTTATTATATTAATGAATTATTAGTTTATTACTTCATATAAAATCACAATAAAAATAATTAATGATATTATTGTAACGAAATATTGTTTGCCTTTATTGCAAATGCCATAGACTCAGGACAGGGACCAAAACGGACGCGACAGACATATACTCGTTATCAGACATTAGAATTAGAAAAGGAGTTCCACTTTAATAAATATCTTACACGAAGAAGAAGAATAGAAATCGCACATACATTAGGTCTGACTGAAAGACAAATCAAAATTTGGTTTCAAAATAGAAGAATGAAAGCCAAGAAAGAAAACAAAATCAAATCGGATCCAAATTCAAGTGATGGCAAACTCATTGATGATAATGACGATTCCAATGTTATTATATAACTATAAGTTTATTTTTTAGTATTACAAATTCAAAATATTTAATATATCATTTAAGATTAATTTAGTTATGATTAGAAAAATGTGAATATTTATTGTTAATTATTATACTATATATATATATATTGTGTATGAATATTGTTTATATCATATATTTATATTACATATTTTTAATATTTATGATATATTTGAAATCATTTCCTGAGATGTATTACTGATAGATATAACCATTTATTTACATTCAATTGTCTGCACCAATATATTTATAAGCATACCTTATGCCCCATAAACCCAATAGAAATGTATATTAAAGAAAGCGATTGTTTGACAAAAACAGTACAATTTTCGCAAAGTCTATAGCATTGCTAAAAGCAGATGGGCTTCACTTTTGATGAATTTATTGCACTTAAAGAGTTGACTTTCTGTGTATAAGAAACCCTTTCTTTTGAGACAGTTTTATGACATGTCATATAAATTGATAAAAGCGTATAAATAGTCAAACCTTATCACTGAATCGCTAAACTAAAGGAAAAATGTTAAAAGTGGTTCACTATATTCAGTTAGTATATAACTTAAAAATTATTGAGAGAGATGTCAATTGTCGTAATAATAATAATATCAAATAAGTTAGAATTTTTATTTATATATAATTTAATAAAGCTATTTATTTTTACGGGTTTCTATATATTCAAAATAATACAAAATTAATTACTGTGCAATTGTTTCATATTTAGGCTAGAGTTGAAAATTCTGGTATATAATTTTTTATAATATTATTTTATTGTAAATATTATATACTGATAATATCTAAAAGCATTATTCAACAATTTTAAAATTTAAAATAATGTTTAAATTCAATGCCAAAGAGAGTATATTAGTAAATATAAATCAAAAACAGTTTGTTTCCTCATAACTCGTAACCAATTTTTAAATTGCTTTTTGAATATTTAGTGGAACTCGTTATACACACCAAATAAAAAATGTAATTTCTCTCACTTTAAGAACCATTATATCTGTTATAAATGTATTTTCATATATGAAAAGATAGTCTACACTCTGTATACTAAATATATACAGTATATACTGTATATTAACTGCTCTTGTGCTACACTTTGTATTGTAATTGTGTATATAATATTATATATTGATGTAGTCTATTGATGCACACACACACACAAAACACATTGAGGACAGACATATCTCATACATTTCCAAGTTCACCAAATTTACCATGATAATATAATAAATGGCAATGCATTTTTAAGTACAAAAATTATTCATACATTCCAATGATTTATATACTTTTATTTGATAAAATCATTTAGTATTTATATTTTGTTACTAAATATTAAATAATTAAAACAATTGTCTAAATATAAGACAAACAAAGTTATATATTGTAATAATTGTATTTATTTATTTATATAATATCTGTAATCACTTGGATTTGACACCAAAGTTATCATTATTATAGTGTATTGTTTAAGTAATATAATAATTATCGTGATATGATATAACATTTTAGTTCCTACGGGTCTACATGTGATTCAAATTGATTTGAGTAATATATTTATACTGTAATGCCGTTTAATATTAACATTAATGTATTAGTTATAATAAAAATCAGACATAACATTAAAATATCACAAATAATCAAAATTGTAAAAGTATTTACACAATTTTACAAAATTACGATTTGTATACATAAAATATATGTGATACATTTGAATAATTATTATAATTATTAATTATTTATTTATTACATTGTCACCAAAGTTAAAGCATTTCTAAATTAATGTTTATCTGTATAATATTTAAATATATAAATTATATATTAATATATAAAGTATTAATTTTCTTAAGCTAAAAATTTTCTTATTAAATTTATTATATAATAATTTTCTATTTTATGTATAATTTTTAATTTTAAAATTTACTTTGAATTATATAAAAAGTGATAAAAAATGGCATATATTTTATTGTAATGAAATATTTGCAACATTAATGTTATTGTAAAACCGCATATATTTAATACACTATTTACAACTTTTAATATTATAATTATTATAAAGATATCAATTTAAAAAATAATTAACATATTATAAAATTTATTTATTATTTTATAATTTTTATTGAAAAAGTTATACATTTTATTTCAATTGAAAAACAACATAAATAAGAATAAAATAAAAACAAAATAATAATAATAATAATAAAACAATAGAAATAAAAATATATAAAAAACAAAAAGTGAAGTCAAGTTTATTTGTAAATCCAAAGATTACTAGCGCTGAGTGATAAATAAGGAGTAAGTCATATATTATATCAATATATTGTAAAAATGTTTTATATATCATACAGTATACCATATACTGTATTACTAGTAGTATACAGTATATTGCAGTGTTGCTGTGCACCCCTTTATGCAAGATTACACATTCATCCTCCTCTCGGGGGGACATTACCATTTACTCTATATTTACAAACACATACAGTATATAAGTATACTCTCTCTCTCTCTCTCTCTCTCTCTCTCTCTCTCTCTCTCTCTCTCTCTCTCTCTCTCTCTCTCTCTCTCTCTCTCTCTCTATTCTCTCTTATGTTAAGTCTCTTTCAACCACTGTATTGAGTAAAAGTGTTATATTTGTTTCTTATATTCATTCATGTCATATATGTTTTTAGTTGATATCATTTGAAAGATATTCAAATTTTGTTAAAATATTAAATAAATATAAAGACAATTAATAACATATTGTGTCCGTTTGACAGTCATATGATAGCAGTTAAAATGAAATAACATACAATATAATATATATATATAATCAATTGAATACTACAGGTGTTGCTATAATTAATTATTGATTTCATGTTTTCTAATATTATTAACATTGATATTATTTGAGAGACAGTGAAAAAGAGAGAAATAATAAAATATAAACTATAATAATATATCGATTGATAGTATGGAAAAAGTATTTCATGCTTTGATGAATAGATGTTTTATAGTTTGTTGACTAAAGCAATGGCGCTCTCATTGATTGTATATTTTTCTCTCCCCTAATGTCTTATGTTATATGAGAAACGTTTTTTTCGGAGCATTGAAGACTAGATTTTGAAAAATTGAAAGCATATCCATGTTATCTGTTTTTTTATTTGATGAATGCATTATTAAAATATAGTAATTGTAGTGATGAGCCAAAAAATAGATGTAATTTTTGTATTTTACAATTTAAAGGTTGTTTACTTTTGTAAGTTTTCAACCGTAATATAACCGGTGCTATAACTATGGCGCGCATATATAAGTTGCCACACAATAGCAGATGTGAGTCAGTCATAGGAAAGACTGACTACCAGAGAGTCACAGCTTCACAACTATGTGTTGCCGACCATAGTCTTCATACGGACACTATTGTCATCTCATAAATGTCTACAATATATATATATATATATATATATATATATATATATATAATATAAGTATATATATAAATATATATACAATATATATACATCCATACATGCATTACTTTCAATGTCTCACACAATATTGGCTTATAATCTCTCTCATTGATTCATACGATGTGTTTAAAACAGTTTCTCTCTTTATATATATATATTTATAAAGTTAGTTGTGGTGTAACACCTATTCTCTCGCCCTATTCATCTCTCTCTCTCTCTCTCTCTCTCTCTCTCTCTCTCTCTCTCTCTCTCTCTCTCTTTCTCTATTCATTTATTCATTCATTGACTTATTTGACAAAATATAAAAAATATGGATTTTTGACAGCATTTTCTGTTTTTATAAATGCACTCAAAATACGAATTATTTTCTATTTTTCTCTCAAAAAACGATTCCTATCACTAACTCAATGTTAAAACATATCAAAGAAAAACATGGTATGTATTCCCTGCCCTGTTGTCTGTTTCAAAAGTAGAGAAAGAGAGAGAGAGAGAGAGAGAGAGAAATGGCAAAAATGTGCTCATTTACTACTATTTTTAGCCTTAAAACATAAGATCATTTTATTATAGAAATGCAGTCAACTTTATGACATTTTTAACATTAGAATTTATCTATTGTTTGATTTTGGTTTAAATTTATTATTATTGTTGTAAATATTATAAGTGTTATTATGATGTTATTATACAGTATGATGTCCTTTTATTGTATTAAAAATACTATTACTAATAATAATGTTGTTACCTAAAAATAATGATTTCTAAAACATTTTTTAATATGAAAAAATAAATAAATATTATTTTAATTAAACATTTGTATAATAAATTTAAAAAATGAAAAGTTTTTCAACCAAATATTTTTCTTATCTATACATTATATTTAGTTGTAAACTCCATTTCAACATTTATTGTATGTGTTTACCAGTAAATAAATATCAGTGTGTATTGGCTGATACAGTATATACAGTACAGTATATAGTATTTGCACGTGTGGTGGGAACCGACACCATGTGCTCATATGCCTCACTATATCTTTTAGTTGGTCACTGTCATCAATCTTAGCAATTGTTTTCTCTATTTTTTAATAAAGGCTTATTTAACGAGTTTATCTCTCTCTCTCTCTCTCTCTCTTTCTTTCTTTCTTTCTTTTCTCTCTCCACTATTATATTTCTTTTTCAACCTAAGAGTATTGAGTGGACTAATGCCCACATATTATATTATTATATAGTTATGATGGACAACAAAATAGAGGAAAAATAAATTACCGATTAATAGATTGTTTTAGCAACAAATTAAATGTTCACTTAAATACATTATATTTACTATAAGTGAAGTTTACTAAAAATGGTTAAACTCAATATGTTTGTCATATAATAAATTGAAACAAATAATGTAAAAATGCTAAATATGGATCAACTTTTTCTATAGTACGGTAGTGACTCAAACTCTGCGTCTAATTAGTTGGAGAGAGAGAGAGAGAGAGAGAGAGAGAGAGAGAGAAGAAAACTAGAAAAATAGTAAAACTAATTAGAAATACTAATGCCATTAATTTGCAAAAAAAAGAGACTATATGTGAGTTGTGTGTATGGGAAACACAAAAACACGCACAAGTAATACATGATAAATAAGGTTTTATACAGCAGTATATATATATATAAGACAAAAAAATTGTCACAAATGATTGTAAAAGACTATTAGTGCACAAAACAAACCAAACTATTTCTTACAGTGAGTGACAATCCATGGAAAGACAAAGTCATAGCATTATATCAAACTTTCAAACTCTCTCTCTCTCTCTCTCTCTTTCTCTCTATTTTTTCATTAATTATGCATTGACTTTCGCATAAACACATTTATACTTTATTTACTCACTTACTAATTATGGCATACAATGTCACTGCTTTTTTCGATACAACATAAGTTGTCAATCGGTCAGAAAATAAACAATAATAGCTATAATATGAATAATAGTCATATTTTAAATCAAATTGTTATTCTAAAAAAAACTAAAAACAAAATTGCAGTACAAATAATATACAAAACTTTTAAAAGAAAAATAAAACAACAAACAATATTTAAATGTGAAATTAATTTGAAGAAATGGTAGAATCAGAAGCAAATCAGGTGAACATCAGAAATCAAATGACTGTCGGTATTTGGTTGTTGTTGTTGCCGGTGAAGAGCAGTTCCATGCGCTCTGGTTGATAGCACTGGCAATAGTGAGGCGCATAAGAATTCTTGGTGTGCCTCTTGAGCCTGAGTCTAATGTCTGGCAGATATAAATGGGGAGAGGAGGGGGTAAATGATAATGTGGTTGTGGTATCATTCGGCAACAGAGAGAGCAGAATCGGGGAAAAACTTTGGGACACAGAAAAAGGCTACGGATTTTAGGTTGAAGTTGAGGTTGGACTGGACCGAGAAGGAGGTGCTGCTCCACGTCTTGTTATATAATATCAGATCCCGTAAACTATGAGAACAACTCAGATCTGATCTGACACTCGTCGTGTGCACTCAAACACTGTGTTTCTAACCAGAGTATTGCTCTCTTTCCTTAAAAAACCTGCAAAAATATATACAAACCGTCAAAAAAGTGTATTTCAACTTATTTTGCAATTTTGATGATCGGCTAAAAATTTGATACTAAAAATCAACTTTTATCGCATCATATTCTTGTATGTGTTTACATTGTATATAAAACTATTTGTATCTCTACTACTGTTATTTTATGTCTCGGTTGAGATCTCAGTTCAAAAGTATCGCATAATTATTGGCAACAATTCTCAACTGAGAGAAAAGTTTTCTTAAATTTATTTATAATTTAAGAAAATTATACAATTTGTAGATTTTTTGTTTATATTTTTTGTCTTCATTTTATATAATATTATTTGAGTGAATATTTTCTTTTCTTTATATTTCTTCAAAAGAAAGACATTGAGAGAGTGATAGAGAAAAAATAAATCTAAAAGAAAGAGAGAAAATATTTTTGTTTTAATGTTTAAATAAGTATTTTGTGCTAATTGTATGAAATAATTATATATTCAGCCATTCAGTCATCATTGTCCCCATCGTCGACATCATTACCAGAGTTTTACAACAATTATTATTTAAGGCCTGTTTTTCTCATTCACTCTCTAATGTTTAGGTAAAATATTTATTCATTAGACTTGAAAAACAAGTCAAAACTTTTTTGGTTTCTATTTTTTTGATTTGATTGTATGACTTGAGATATCTTAGTCTAAATTACTAATATCTATATTATTATTATTAGTATTGTATTAATAACAGTAATTTATAAGACATTTCTCTCCCTATTATCACAGCATTGATAGTCATATAAAATACTAGTTATTGGTCTCATAGTGTTTGGTTGTCTTTCAAGTAATACCTAAACATTGGTATCACTCGTATCTGTGGAGAGCTGTGTTCGTAGAGTGCATTCATCGCGAGCTCCGTCTGTGTTATGGCAACGCCAGTGTCTGTTTGAGTCAGGCATTGGTTGCATTGGTATCACGTGTCGGTGGATTGGGTTGTCTTAATCATATTGGTTGGTATAATGCGCTATTAAAGTGTGCCGGAGGTTTCCTGGAGAGCATAGCAGTATCGGCCATAATTCATCAAAATTGCGTGGAATATTGGGAACAATTACCAAACAAATCATTCAAGAGAGCAGATGAGCTCATATCAGTTCGTCAATTCTCTTACCTCGTGCTACGGACAGCCCGGTGTCCGGTCGGCCGTCGCACCCGAGGCCGCACAGACTCCACAAGACTATTACACACCACAAGCAGTCTATAATAACTGCTACGCGAGTGCGGCCAACAGTGCTGTTTCGGGCGCCACTCAGCCCACATCACCCGCCTATTCGGCATATCTGCAGAATGGCGACCATCACAGCAGTCATCATCACTCGAGTCATCCACACGTCTCCTCACATCACAGAGAACTTCATCCCTATTCGAGCAATTCGTGTTCCCAATCGGCCTCTCAGGCCGTAGTCCAGTCTCGGCTCAGTCATCATGGCTCGGCTCAGCCTATTCTACCCTCTCGAACACCAACCTCTCCATCGAGTTGTAAGTACGCCATTGATTCCGCCTCATCGCCTCAAGATCTCAGCACATCCAGTGGTGGTGCCGGCCAATCACCCGAACCCAGAGCCACACCACCGCAAGGCTCACAACGAGGGTCGACCGGATCGGCACAGAATATATCGCAACCTAACAGTGGAAACACCGCTCAAAATAATTCACAAGGAAATGGAGCCAATGGAGGCAAGAACGGCACTTACGGCTCATCAAATCCACCACATATTTATCCCTGGATGAGGAAAGTCCACGTCGGCCAAAGTAAGACACTTCCACTTACTTGTTGTACATTATCTTAATCTTAATACACAAAATAGTTAAGCTATACCTCTTAAGTTTGACATTTTGTTGATATTTTGTTCAATTCAATGGTTGAGCTGTAATGTTGTGAATGTAGTATTGATGTACTGTTGATGTTGTGTTGATGTTGTGTAAGAGCACAGATAAACATGACTTTCCCGATGGGTATCTGGACTGGAAATGTCGAGTTCTGGAGCGCAGAGGCCTTTTTGACTGTTCTGAGTGATCTTCAGACGGTTGTAAATTTGGATGTGGAACCACCTCTGCTGGTACTGTCAAACATAGGTTTCCCTCCCATTAGCCATAAAATAGCACTGATACCAGTGAACAACTGCCATAATTTTACTGTATTACTGCCTCAAGAGTTGGCAAAAGCAGTTAGTTTTATGGCCGGCCATAAAATAGGCAGTTAAAGGGGGACATAAAGGGCCCGGTGCTGATTTACAATCTTACTTTTATTATATCAAGCGTAACGAAATGATAGGGTGCTCTCAGTGCTCAACAGGCCTACACACCAACATTAACTATAACTATACATCTCTCTGTATGTGTACTGTCTTAGCATTTCATTTACTATTTCAATACATTTTGTATTTTTACAATTGTTTGCGAATTAGACTGAATATCTTCAATGTGTTATATTTACGATGTTTACGGTGTCATATATATATATATATATATATATATCTATGTGATATATATATATATATGGTATATACAGTATATATAGTATTATGGCTGTGCACGGCATCAGCAGCACTAGCATTGACACGGCATGTCTACTATCTGTGAGCTCTATGAATGCAATGTAATGTTATTTATTATAAGAGTATGCATGAGTTGTGGGCGACTGACTATAACTTTTCATTTATATTCCTCGACCTCCAGGCGATCACTACTGTTATTGTTGTATGTGTTTGTCAGTTGGTAGCACCGGATGGTCAGCACCAGAGTATCCATTGCAGTATCATTTATATTGACACAAAAAGACAGGCCTTCACACTCTTATAGTGAGACTTTGTGCCTAATATTACTGATACATACATATATTGATATATTATATACAGAGACAAATACTCCTAGAAAAATACCACTAAAATACTGGTGCTGTAAAAGTGGTGCTCCAAACCAAATGCAAAATATTTTCATACTAACAAAGAGAGAGAGAGAGAGAGAGAGAGAGAGAGAGAGAGAAACATTTGGCATTTGGTTTTTCTTCTCATTTGGCTTTAAATTTGCCAAAAGCCATATCTCATTGAATAATGAATATAAATATGAGTCTTGAAATGCTTTTAGTTTTTGTTCAGATATTTTCCTCAAATATAATTATTGACCAAAACATTGATGAATATATTTCTCAATGTCTTTGTATTTCAATTACTTTTCTATACATATAAATCTCATTATTGACTGATGATTGCATAGTTTCAATTGAAAAACATTTCTTTAAATAAAAAAAATGTTTTGGTAATCAAATGATAGTTTAATTTTGTAATTCATTTAAGTTTGACTACATTTAAGTATTAGTTTTTAGTAATGGCTTTGTTTGAGATGAAATCCTTGAGGCCTTAATTCTAAATATAATATAATTACAACATTTACTATACATTACTATAATGTTTGACTAATGCTATGTTTTAGCGTTCATTTTGTCTTTATTTCCATATTTACGTACTGACAAACAGCATATATATATACTGATAGACATTGAAAGACACCAACAATGTTGTAGTGTTGTTGTTGTTGTTTTAGTAGTAAAAAATATTCAGTAAAAAATTTCTAAATATAATGCCTATGCCGTTGGTATTGCCATTATATGAGTGATGGCTCAGTGGTGGCAGAGAGTGGTGTAGCACTCTATCATTCCCTCAATTGCTAAGAACATTAGTAATGGTTTGTTTATGAGAGACAACGACTAACCCGTGTATAAAGACATTACACATTATGCACTAATACATTATAAACGCATAGATGAACCATTGGACTATAATTTAAGATTTAAACAAAAAACAATCTATTAATATAGTATAACTCAATTCATTAAACAACACACGTATACTTTTCTCATATATGACACACACACACACACACACACACACACACACACACACACATATATATATATATATATATTCAAATAAAGATACACAGCTCAGTTCAATGTCGGATATCTCTTATTTTTGTATGCAAAATGTCAATGTATTATAATATATACAATTGTAATATCATATATTATTACACTATATTAAAATTTCATAATATAATAGTCGACAGTGAAATTAAGTTTAAATGATTGTTTAATTGACGGCTCCCTTATAAATATGATTGCATGTCTAATGTGTTATGTCTAACATATTTTAATTTTATGTTTAATCTAATGTATTGTAATGTTTTGACAGACGGTGTGAACGCAATGGGAGAGACCAAAAGGCAGAGGACATCGTATACAAGATATCAAACACTAGAGTTGGAGAAAGAGTTTCATTTCAATCGGTATCTCACGAGAAGACGTCGCATAGAAATCGCCCATTCGTTATGTCTGAGCGAAAGACAAATCAAGATATGGTTTCAAAATAGACGGATGAAGTGGAAGAAAGAGCATAAAATGCAAAGTGTAGTTCCGCCACAATTACCTCAAATGTTAGGTCCAGTCGACCATCATTTGCATCATCTTCACGAAACTAAAGCGTGAAGAGCATCAAAAAACACTACCACTTAAATCACAAATATATAAATTTATTATATAATATAAATTTAATTATAAATATAATTATTTATCAATCGTTTTAATTAAATCGACTGAAAAATACAACAAATACACTGAAAAATTCATCAATGGATAGGAAACACTTTTCCAAATATATATAAATATAATTGTATAAACTTATTGATTATATACTAAATATTGTTAATTTAATCATTAATCGATCTATAGATACATAAATTTATTATTTGATTCATTAATGGGAAAAATTGAAATAACTGAAAATCAGTAAATGAGTCGACATTTTTTTTATATCAAACTAACGGTTTTTTTAATTGATATAAAATGGGACTTAAATTATATGTGAAGTTTAAATGTTCACTATTTACAATGAAATTACTATAAATTCATTAGTTTTTTTTAATTAATTTTATTCATATATAATTGTAATTATTATCTAAGTATACGAAAAACATCTCTAGATTTGAGAAGTACTTTTCCAATACCCATATAAAAAGTAAATATAAATTTAAAAATCTTTGAATACATTATAAGGGAAAAAATTGAGAAAAATCGAGAGGTTTGCGATAGGTTTAGGATTGAGTTTGCAAAACAAAGTATAACTTAAATTAATTTAAATCTATATATATATATAAATATATATTGTATTTATTTATTACATAATTAGTCCAAATTTGTTAAATCTAAGGGTCAGTCATTTATATAAATATATATTATGTAAAAAATAATATATATATTTAAAAATTATTATAAATTTCACTAAAATTTAGCTAAACAATGAAAATCATATAAATTATAAAGTATTTATTATTAAGTAAAATTTGTAATACTTTTGAGATTTATTTTTTATTTGTTTAATTTTTTTTAATTATAATTATAATTTGTAATATTGTATTAAAACGATGTGTTGGGCGTGCAATGTATGCAATTGTCTCATAGGAAATGATATTTAAATGATTGCTATAAACTTATAATGAATAATACGATGTACAGTACAAACACATTATTCACAAAAGTTAAAAACTATTGTAAAACATAATTAAACTGACAAAATGTTTGTCCTTTCATATTATATTGAAGGGACAAACCATATGAGACACATGTGTAAACCAGTATACGACAAAAAAAACAATTATTTTATTTGTTAATAATTTGTAATATTGTACTCATAATAATCATATTGTATCACAACATACAACATTACGACCATATCATATACCTATATCTTTATCATATATTTTGCTTTGAGAGTTCAATGCTTATTATTTGCAGTATTTAGCACACAATCAGACATTTCAACAATAGGCAAATATATTTGTCTATATCTGTATTTTATAAAAAATAATTATAATTAATAATGACTATTACATAGCATTTATTTTAAAAAATAATTATTTTGTTAGAAATTTCTTTTTTATATAAAAAAATAATGTCACCTATCTAACATAAAGCAATAACACACACACACACACTCAATATCATACCTATTATTATATTGAATATAACAAATGAAAAGCTGTATGTTTTCAGGTACCAAACCAATGATGATTATTACATATGAAATGTCGATTATGAACTATAAATATATGTAAAAAGCATTTATTTGACGACTCATCACACGTACTATTTTCTAATAATTCCTGTCATTTCAGTCAAACTTTATAATTGATTTTTTTCATATTTAGGTGCATATATATATATATATATATATATATATATATATATATATATATATATATTGTGTATGTATAGTTTGATAGCAAAAGTATATTATAGCAAATTAATGGAAACATAGTTTTTTGGTGAATCATTATCAACACTGGTATTGTATTTATCATTAATGTTCCATTAAGACGAAGCACCGGTGGTTCAGTATGTAGGCACCAGTTCCTGACAGTAGGTGTGTGTCATCCGTCTTATCAGAGAAAGAGTGAAGAAATGATGGTTTAGTGAGAAGTAGACCATATCTGAGACATTCTCCTATTTTGTTAGACTTTTTTAGTTGATTTTTTTGTTAATATTTTTAACAATTTTTTTAATCATTAATTTATTTATTTTGACAAAAATCATTAATTATTAAAGTAATTATTCTATTGCTCAACCCATACATCATAAATACTAATTTCTTATATATCTGTTTGACTAAATGAACAGATAATGTGATGTTATATAATATCTAAATATTCAAATGTTTGCAATTAATTAGTATCTATAGACAAATATTAAAAATAAACAAAAATCAAATTTATTGTAAATCGATAATAGCATGAATTTGATAAAAATATCTTATAAAATGGTATATGAAATGGTCGTAAAGTTGTTGTTATCATATTATATCTTTGTATACATTAATTAATTTTATTTCTGTGATAGAGTTTCTGAACCAATTCATTCTTACATTACAAACACAATTAGTTGATTATGTGATGGTTCACTAATATTATATATATATAATATTATATATAGTATATATATATATGTAAAACAAACAAAATAATGTAATAATTTAAACCAATAATGTAATGCTTTAAAAGTGTGTGAGAAAAGACATTCATATTGTTTTTTGTAATGTAAAGGAAAGCCTAAATTTGTTTATCGACTTATTTGTGTATAATTATAATTATTATATATTATTATTATTATTAGATAAAGATGAACAGTGTCTTTGTAAAACATTTTAAGTAAAAACCATTAATTTATGTCAAAGAGTTCCTCTACAGCTGCTAAACATTTCACCTTTATTTTTTATACTTAATATATCTATGTTTTCCTAAATATAAGTTAGTATCTATCTCCCTGTCCTCTTTTTTATGCTAATTATCTTTACAATGTCTATAGCACCTTAACAATAAATAAATCCCTTACCACCCGTTCCCAACAATTATCAATCTCGATATTTCACTATAATATAATATATTCACTTTCATTCACACTAAACAACTTTGCTATTATTTAACATTTTTTGTTCACATTTTTTTTTCTCTCACTCTTCTATTGCTTATACCTTGTAATCAATCATAAAAACTGTTGTGAAAACCTTGAAAAATGTTTTTTAAAACAACTATAACTAACTAATAGCTACTAAATTGTCATATTATTTATAATTGTGTTTAATGTAAATATTGTACAAAAAATAAGTATACATTTTAAACAAAAACTACATAATTTTTTCAGATCTCTCACACTCGAGTAACATAATTTAACGTTAATTTTAGGTATTTTTCAGATAAATTACCATTTAATTGTTTAAATTTTTTGTTTTATATGTATTAGTGTTACTAAGATTTATATTTAATATTATTAATACTAATTATAACTTATTATGTGCTCTTAATGTAAAACATAATAACTTTTAAATTATTATGGTTATTTTTTATTATTTTAAATCTTAAAATATTTGCAAAATTTCTGCAAACAAAAATAAGTTAAAAACTATAAAAAACAAAGATAGCATTTGTTTTATATGTAATTTATTTTATTATTACTACAGTATTTACTATTCATTGCTTATATTCGTTAATGACATTTATATCTCAAAAATATATAATTTATATATTGAATATTTTTCATAATAGTGTTATAGTTTACCAAAAATAGTTTATATAACCTAATTGTTGTCCAAATTTATTCAGTCATTAATTTCAGTCATCCATTCATTTAGTCATTTATTTACTTTTTTGTCACATTTACAACATATATATCAACTCATATATCTATGGATTCAATTTTGAATAATGTTTTCAACTGAACTGTCAGGTAAAAGGAGTGGTTTTTGTACAAAAATATTTGTATACAAATACTTGTATAAAATTTTTAAATGGTTTTACTCTTCAAATTGTCGTTTTGATGGAAAATTTTGTTTTGATTTCGTCTCTTTTACTATATATTTCATAACAGTGTAATAATAATATATAGTAAAGTCCTCTTTGTAAGTCAAATATTGTATATGAAAAATATTTAATTATTGAAGCGTAAGAACATTGAATTGTATTGAATATAATAGCGGAGACATTGCAAACATTATATTCAATAGTTGTCGACACATCAAATGAAATGTTTTTATCACATATTTAGAGGTAAAGTCTCTGAATGGCAAATATATGTGTGTTTGTAACCAAAAATTAATTAATTTTGTTTTCAATATCCCTCTGAGCTTTAAAATACCAATTGTTTTGTGACAATACTATGACTGCACTGCAAGACTCTCTACTGAATATTAATTTATGTTAATTAAAGACATCTTTCAATTCATTTATTTGGTATAACAGAGAGTTGATATTCATTACGTGAGACAACTGTCATCTATTATATAATGCATAATAAAATGTAATTTCAATCATATAATTCTTTCAAACTTTTATATCGAAAAATATTAAATTACATTATTAGTAAATAATTATATAAATTATTTTTACAATTTTTAATTAAACTTGTTTTTTAAAAAAACTCATCTCTCATACAATGTATATATAAAATGCTTGAAAAAAATTTAACAAAAAATATCCAGAAGGGAAATCATTTACAGTATAATTATTAGTTAGTAAAATAAAAAATATATAATAAAATGTAAATATTTGGCAACAAATTCGATGATATGATAAGATTGGTTCAGCAAAAGAGAGAGCTCCCTGTGCTGTGTATGTGAAGTGCAAAACTGGTGTATTGTATATATTATGGATGAAGAATACACTGAACCATAGCATCGATAGCACCAGTAGTGGTGGCTCTCAAATACTAGTGATAGTAGTGTTGGCTCTATGGCTCCATCGGTCACCTCAGAGGCGAACATCAAAATAATAATGGCTGTCACTTCTTCACCAGTGCCATCACTACCAGTGCCACCACATCATTACAAACGTCAAACATTACTTTCAATTTTATATATCCACAAATCTATTGTCTAATTGTTGGTTATCAGTGTCTTATTGAAGACATTTGATTAGTGTTTTCTATAAATAAGTTGTGAGTGAATGCACTGAAACACACAAATCACACGTTATATTGTATTATATA